TTTAGTTTTCCTGCTCTATAATAATCCTATCCAATAAAATACATTTAGTTTTTCAAAAGTAATTTTACAATAACAATCATCCTAACAAGAATTGTTTCCAGAAACATTCTTACAAAACATTTCCACAAACTTCTCCAAGAATTATTTTCGAAAAACTCTTCAAACGCTGAATATATATAGAAAGCAATATCTTTTTCCATTGCAAATCTCTAAGCTCCTAAGAGTAAAATAAGAATATCAAGTTCTAACAGCATTCCCTTGGATACATTACAGAGATTTAATTATTTTCCATAAGTTTAAAGGAAATCATTGTTAAAAGAGAACCTTAAAACTATTGTCTCATATCCATCAAACAATCAATATTACACAAAAGTAGTTATCGGTTATATCAGAATCTACTGTCCACACCATCAAATATAGGAAGTAGCAGCTAGCATCATTCACTCATATTAAAGGAGATGCAAAATTCAATACATCTAAGGTGCAAGCTTGATGGGAATAAATTCTCTCTTATTTTTTTTCTTCTTCTTGTCCGTTAAGCTGTAAAACGATTAAATAATAAAGCCACTTATTAGTCACCTTAATGATCTTAAAACCTCATACTATTCATTGACAACCAATTAAGCACATTATGCAACTCCTGAGAATGTTTTAATAGTTGAATATTAAAATTTACTAAGTAAAACTAAAAAGCTACCGTTTATGATCGTGGGATCAATTTTAAACCTCATTCAAGAGCTCGGAGAGAGAAAGAAAAGGACTTCAAGAGCATAGATGAGGAATCTAATGCGCGCAGCAGTCAGGCAATGTAAACAAAAATTTCAAAGGGGTTATGCCTCAAAACAAAGGGTTAATACCTAAAAATTAGGAGAGAATCGGCCTTTAACTTAATAATAAAAAAATAAAGGAAATAAAAATGCAAAACTTTTCAAAATAAATAGCAATTTCAAGGGGTAATACCTCAATACTCCCATTCAGCAACTTCCAAGAGTGCTTACATTCTGCAGGAACAGTCTGAGGATTTTCTCTGTTTGAATAGGAAACTAAAAGGTAACAATCAAAATCTAGAGGTGTATCCGACAACCTACAACGGAAAACCAAAGAACAAAGCATAACCTTAGAAACAAAGAAAACCTTATATTAAAGAATTAATTGTAAGAGAGAGAAAAGAATATATCACAAGATCAAGATGAGTAGCTAACCTGAAGATTGTATCAATCTGAGTAGAAGGATAAGAACAAAAAGTATAGAATTGGAAAAAGTATCTAAAGCAAAGGAAGATGGAGAACCATGTGATGTTGGGCATATTTCGATACGTGTTATGTTATTTACCCATGTTTTAATTACTTTTTGATATTATTTGATCTTTAAAATACCCAATATAGTTTAATTATTGATTTTATGACTAATTGAGTTGTGTGGTATGATTTAGGGTGTTTGGAGTACAAAATTATGAAAAAAAGGTGCTCTAGCTAGAGAAAGAGGGGTTGGATGCGTCGTATCCAATCTAGAAAAAAATTAGATTTCGTGCACCCTTAGCAGTGAAGTCGGCCCATAGCATCCGCACCTAGGCAAAGCTGAGATGGAGGAACATAGGGTGGAAGCGAAGCATGCGAAGCGGAGAAGTGGAGGATGAGGTGGATGCGACGCATCCACCCCAGCATCACTCCCTAAAACTTATTTGGATTGAAAATAGGAGAACTTTGGCCCACGACTTTTGTACGCAATATATAAGCCAAAAACGTCTCTTTTTAGGTCATCTAACATATTGGGAAGGGAAAAAAAGCCACGACAAAGCTTGGGGACCACGGAATTCATCTTGAGTTCTTATTTTTCCTTCTTTTATTGATTTTTATGCACTCTTGTAAATTTTTTGATGATTGCATGAACATGAGTGGCTAAGAACCCTATTATTCTAGGGTCATGGGTATACATGAATGTTGACGTTTGAAGTTTAATTTGACAAAGTTGATTTTATCATATTGGGTTATTTATTTAATTCTGTTTTTAATTAATTTGCTGAGTAGCTAACAATGAATTACTATTTATGAATCTAGAGTTGAACTCGAAAGTGAAAATTCTAGATTGCATATAGAATTAAATAAAGTAAGTTCTTGAACTCGGGCATCTGGGAACGGATTCGCAATTAGGATAGAAATATACCTAATTGTCTTGCTTAGTTGAAATATAGGAAGTGTAAATGCATTCTTGTTAATCTTAATTCAATAAACATATAGGCATTAAATTAGCTTGAATAGGCGATTAAGAACTCGACAGATTCTTATGAGTAATATCAACCTTGTCAATCAACAATCCAGATAAATCAATTAGTTATTTTAAGCTAATAATGCAACATGATTGTTAGATAACATGTGACCCTGGAATATTATCTCCTATTGATTGTTATTCGAAATTATTTAAGTGTTGTGGTTGATCTCTAGTATTTCATTACTTGATAGTTTTTAGGAAGTAAATTAGAAAATTATCTATTTTGTGAGAAATCGCTTGAATCGATAAGTTATTTGAGTTTGAGTTAGTCAAAAGTTAATCATAAGTTTTCGTGGGAACGATACTCTACTCACTACTATATTACTTGACGACCACGTATACTTGCGTGAGTGTGTTTGATCGCAACACCCCGTGCAGTGGAATTAAACTACACTAATATGCTACATCAGCTATATGAGATGACAAAAATGCCCTCAATTTGAATCTTAGTGCCAAAAAACAAACAGGTCAAACGGAATAAAGTAGTTGAAGCACAATAATCTAGCAAACTTCTTCTTTGTGACTCGAAAATAAGACATTGCTCCAGTTGAGCCTTGTCACAAATGTTGTCTTCTAAACTACACAAAAATATTTGAAACGACAAACCAAGCCAGCTCTTAGTAGTTCCAACAACTAACCTCAATTACATAGAGAATCATTGACGGTCACAAGACTATCTGTCTCATAATAGAGACGCACATTATAGTTCTAAATGGTGGTATACAAACACATATATTAAAAAGAAAATGAGAAGTATTATTGTCTTTAAAGGTGTGCATTAGTAATAAAAAGGCATATTGCACTGCTTTTCAACGGTCTATTTAAATTAAAAGGAATTGTAAGCCTCATAAATAAGAGGTGAAAGTCACAAAGGATTAGTAGGTAGATTCTTTTTTTCTACAATTGTTTGTGTAAAAGTAAATTCGCAATAGCTTAAAATAATAGAAGTCAAAGAGCCATTCATACTGGTTGTGAAAACTTGATACATGCCTTAGAAATCAATTTCAAAGAAATGATAGGTATGCATGATATTTTCACTCTGATATTATTTCTTGAAAAGCAAGAAGAGATTCAATTTAATGCTCTTGGCAAATCATAATAATACCAGTTTATAATAATCTGTCACAAATGTGGCAAGAAAAAAGGTGAAAAACTTTGTCACCCATATCATAAATTTATCATATCAGAAGAGATCATCAACTGAGAAACTGTAATCTATGATTCACTCAGCACCCAAAAATTCACAATAACAACCAAATTGTTTGTTGAAAAGTTAAACTAACTAAGTAATGCACAAAGTTTTCAATGAGACTTCCTCAATTATGTTTCTTGAAGAAAACATCAATTGTGATGAGGTAAAATTCAAACTTCTATGTAACTGCAAATACTTCATTATCAACTGACTGTGTGAATGCATACAATCGGAGTTCCCAACCGAGACTTAGAGTAAGCTCCATTGGAGTTCTCAATAGACACTTAGAGTAAGCTCCATCAGAAAATCTGTAAGATTCAAAGTAAAACATTCCGAGGTTGGTGCATCTTGTTGAGCATGGAGATGCACTACGAACCCAAATTTCTTTCTTATCGTGTAAAAACGGAGATGAAGCAACATTGACTCCTCTCTCTACCTAGATGATTACTCTTTGGTCAAAGAATACTGAAGTAACATCAACTAAAATGCACTCATTTGAAAAGAACTAATGTGATCATAAGAAGCAGAATATTTCAAAAACGAGCTCATCTACAATTACAAAATTTTCGATCAATCCATAGAAGTTTTTATGAAAGATAGTAACAGAGAAGAGGGCATGGAAGAATTGACGGGAAATGGAAACAGAAACTTACCTTTTTAATCAATGGAAACAAAAAATTGAAATTCAAAAAGAAGTCAAAAGCAAATGAAATTACTACTATAATCTTTTTGTTCACCGTTTCTACCCCAATCTCCCAACTACATTTTACGCATAGCAAACCTTCCGAAACTCTACCTCTTTCTCTATTAAAGACATCAGCCACAAATTCCAGTTATGAAATTTGGAAGTCTGAAGAGAAATTAGAAGAAAGTGGGCAAAGATTGAGACAAATCATACCTGAAATTAGAACAGCCCAAATGAGAAGATGTAAAGAACTGGGG